GAGCAAAGAACAGATAAAAGAAACAAAGGGAGAAAGAGGTGCCGAAGGGAAAACATCGGAGGAACTGCGAAGAAAAAAGAAAAGAGGGTAGCTTTGGGGGTCTGAGAGAAGGTGGCGGCTGAATAGTTAGATCAGAAGCAAAAGTAGAAGCAAAAACCGAAAACAAGAAAGAACTATTGGAGAAGGGAAGAAGGTGTTCTCGACTGGAAAACAGGAGAGGGAGACTTGCATCTCACGAGAGGTTGCTACCATTTCGGTCCACCATCGTCACCTGCAAATCCTTACCGAGAGAGCACTGTAAGTTATCCATTCCCTTTACATTCCAGTCTTTCTTTTCAAATAGCCTCTTGAAGCTTTCAAAGTATCTGTTTTATGACCTGGCTTATGGAAAGTTAAGTTTATTATTATTGTTGTCTATTCTTCCGCCTCTTCTGGTTCATGTTCATCAAGAATTTATTGCTTCGTTCGTGAGTAAAGGGGCCAGGTCTTGTGGTTGTGCGTAGATTATAATGTGTGTTTCGAATTTGGGTGGTTGAAAGCTTGTGAACCTAAAAAGCCATCAGCTTTGCACTTTTCTTCATCCCAAAATGAAAGGGATGTGGTCCGTGGGTTGTCTCTTTGGTGACATCTGATGCTCGGAAAGGTTTGATTTTTTTTATTGGGTCAAGGATGGTGAGATGTTAGGGCTGGTATTATAGCCGCATCATTTTCGTTCCTTGGTAGTTCTAAATCCCATTCCCTTCGAAAGCTTACATTGATGTTCATATCTGTTCTAAATACCACATGGGCGCCTGTTTTTGTCCCCTTTAACAGCCCAGTGGGTTTGTTTTCTTGTCAAATTCGTGGTTTAAATATGTTCTGAGGACAACGCCTGATGGTTCTTTCTTTGCTTGTTATCCGGTTCCTAGTACACCTTTCCTTCTTCCTAAAAGCAAGGAACCTGTTTGATGCTGCAAGGATTGCTGTTTGCTTGAGTTTGTTATCTGCGGCTATCTTGAAAATAAGTTGCAAAGTTTCCAGTAGAAATCTGATCTTATGGCCCCACTCTGCCCAGATTTTCCTTCCTCTTGCATGATATCTTGAGGATGAGTTTGTAATACTGAATGAGAGCTTGGAGATTAGATTTTGTTGCTAGCTATTTGTCATGTAATGTTGCGCAAATCCCTGGAAGTCAGAATTGCAGAAAGTTGCGTCTAGTTTTTCCTTGCACATAACATTGAGTTGCATCAGAAATTACCACACGTTTATTACAATAGTCTTACCGAATGTGTCTGTTTGAATTTTCATTTGATGGCCATTCGAATGCTAGATGGTACTCTTGCTTAGTTTCTAGATTGTAAATGGCTGATATGTGGGCATAAAAATCTACTGCAATAAGCCCGAACCCATGGCTTGTTGTAGCAGCTTTTCCTTTCTTTGGTTGTTGAATTTTCTGGAGTAACTTGAACTCTTTTGATTCTTGCTTCGTCATGTCGGATTGTCGAGATAATTTTCTTGTTAAAACGCCATATTCCTTTATTGTTTGTGCAAATGACTTGCATGGTTGAAAGTTGCCAAAGAGTTGCAGAAATTGTGTTGTCTGTGAAATGGAATTGCAGAAGCCTATCATTCACGTAAATTGCATGAAGTTCCATGGAAATGTTCCAAAACAATTGCACTTTAACCCCCCAAGTCTCTTCTTGTTTCACTATGGCCCAAATAATTGGAAAAATCAATCAAATTGACCCCTCAAATTTCTTTAGTTTTTGCAATTAAGTCATTACTTGTTTTAATTTTACATGGGTTGATCACCTTCCTTTTAAACGCCTTGGATTGATTCAATTTCATGCTTATTCTCGTTTCATGTGATTATTTCTTGATTAAAGTGGTGCCTTGACCCTTTTTATTGTTTTGAATATTTCCTTCATGTCATTACCATTGCAAGGGAGGTATACTCTATCCCTTATTTTCACTTTATTTGACTCTATGTGTCTATGTGATTTATGTGCTTAATTGCATGCCTTTTGAATGTTTTCATTTTATTTATTTATTTATTTATCCACTTTATTTGTTTTAGTTTTAGATAGTTATTTTCAATTTCGATCATTTGAAAGGCACTTGAATGCCAAAGTTGTAATAGCTAGGTTATTATTTTATTTATTTTATTCCGTTTCCCCTCTTAGATTGTAGTAGGCTTCCCTCGAATGTAATAGTTAGGGCTTTATTTGCTTTATTTGCCTTATGTGTGTTTTGCATGTCCATGTGCTATGTGTTACCGCTTTCTTAGGGTCTTGCATCTAGATATCATGCTTATGTGTTATGTGCTATATGTGATTTATGTGTTTACATGCTTTTATTAGGTCTTGCATGATTTATTTGATTGTAACCGATGTGTGATGTAACCATACTAGTCCAATGCTAGTTGTGGTCAATTTCCCGAATCCACACTAGTCCAACGCTAGTTGTGGCCCTTTGTTCCGACTTTTCTCACTAGTCCAATGCTAGTGGGAAATTGTAGACATGGGCTAGTCCAAAAATAGACCCTTAGGAGCCCCTCGAGCGTTAGATCATGGTTAGTGATAAAATCACTTCATCTCATGCATGTTTTCACTTTTTAGGATTTTACCATGTTGCATGACACTTTCTTATATATGTACATCCTTTATCCCATATTCCCTTCTACTTATATCCCTTATTCCGTATTTTCCCTTATTTATATATTCCTTACCCTTCTGTATGAAAACATAATATTAGACTTGCATTTCATTTAAGAAATAGAAACTAGGTTAAATCATTTGCATGCTAGATTAGGAAAACCCCTTGGATATGGGATATGGACGAGTTTGGCTTTTCTAACCTTAGCACGCTCGTATTCCCTCTATTAAAAGGGGAAAATTGAGTCACGAACATTAGTCCCTCGTACCCGACATGATGCATTCCTTTAGAAAATGTATATTTGTATAATTATGATATTTTTATTGTTTCCTTTTTTTAGAGTCTCATATTTTTGCATTATTCGTGACCTCTTCGAAAAGTCTTTATTGGGCATCACAATCAATGTGATTGGTACCAAGTAAGTTTTGAAGATAAATTTCGACCCTCCCGATACCCTCTTAAGTCTAGGGTTTGCGTGCATATAGTACATCCAAATGTGATAAATCTTAAGGGTAAAATAAGAAAATCTTTGGCTAAATCGCGCAACTAGCCTTGGTTAGGTTGAAAGGGTGCCTTGGACTCTTATCGTTGCCTTCCCTTTCTTCAAATGTGACTCCCGAATCTTTTTCTCTGATTTTCGTAGACTTGGAGTCGTTTAAAAAGGGTTTTCTACTTTTTTGTTTAAAAATTCATTTTTAGGTGACTTGGTACACCTTAACTCTATACCAAGTGGCGACTTCGATTTTGTTTTAAAAACCCTTTTTAAACTATAATTTGGGCCCAAATCGTCGCACTTTCAAACCCCATTTAGGCCCATTTTCTTTTTAAATCAAAAATCATTTTTTCCAATCAAAAATTGAATCAAAAGCCATTTTTTCTAAACTCGTCTTTTATTTATTCTTATTTCAAAAATGGGGCGCGACAAGTCCAAGAAAATATGTCTGCATTCTTCAGCACTTTGAAGAATGGCAGCGCTCTTGTAGCAGATTGTGACAAGAACCTATTAAGAGCTGCCAATCTCCCCGTCAGCCTTTGGACGTCTCGGATGCTTCTAGGTGAATACATCTCTTGAATCGCCTTCACCTTGTCGGAATTTGCTTCTATACCTCGGCGTGACACTAGATAGCCTAGGAACTTGCCCGATGTGATGCCGAATATGCACTTCTTGGGATTGAGCATCATCCTCGTATCTCGGAGGATATCGAGGACCTCTCTTACATCAGATGAGAACGCCGAGGCATGCTTGCTTTTTAAGAGTATGTCATCAACGTAGGCCTCAACGTTCCTTCCTATTTGAGACTTGAAAACTCAGTTGACCAGTCTTTGATACGTCGCCCTGGCATTTTTTAGAGCGAAGGGCATGGTGGTGTAGCAGTAAATTCCTCGATCTGTGAAAAAGGCAGTTTTCTCCTGGTCTTCTTCGCTCATTCCTATCTGGTAATAGCCTTTGAAGGCATCTAGCAAAAAGAGGATCTCGTAACCCACTGCCGAATCAACTAAGCTGTCTATCTTCGGGAGTGGGTAATAATCTTTTGGACAGGTCTTATTCAGATCCGTGAAATCCATACACATTCTCCACCCTCCGACGTCCTTCTTAACCATGACTGGGTTGGACAGCCATGTGAGATATTGCATTTCTTTGATAATCTATGCCAGTAAGAGCTTATCCATCTCTTCAGTGACGGCTTTTTCACGTTCCGGGCCGAAATGTCTCATTTTCTGCTAGACATGCTTCACCCGTGGGTCAACATTCAGCTCGTGCAACATAAGGTGATGTGGTACTCTCACGACCTAATCAACGGTCCAAGCAAAGACATCCTGGTACTCTTTTAGGAATTAACCACTTCGCCCTTAAGTGGCTCGGGCAAACTAGTGCCGACGCGGATGGTTTGCTCGGGTTTTGAAGGATCGAGAAGGACTTCTTCGACCTCATCTCCGGTCTCTAGTCTTTCAGGTTTCTCGGATAATTGAGGCGGTTTTCAGCTCGGTCGAGGAAGAGGAAGCGGCCTGGAGAGTAGCGAGGTAGCATTCTGTTGCGGCACAGACATCACTGCTGATCTCGGCAATGCCGACTGGCGTGGGGAACTTAAAGCTCAAGTGGTATGTTGAATACATCGCCCGTAACGCGTTTAGGGTAGGTCGCCCCATGAAAAGATTATACGGGAAATCAGATTTGACCACAACAAAGTTGACGGGAACAGTTTAGCACCGAGGATGTCGTCCCACGGTCACCATCAATGTAACCATCCCTTCGGGGTGAACAACATGCCCCCGAACCCCACAAGTGGGGTTCTCACGGGCACTAGCTGGTCCCTTGTTAATTTTAAGCTTTCAAAAGTCCGATAGTACATAACATCCACCGAACTTCAGGGGTCAACGTACACATTCTTTACTAGGTAATTATTGGTGAGCAATTCAATCACCAAGCCTTCATGACTGCTGGAAGTAGTCGGAACAGGATCACTTGGGCCATAGGTGATTGTTTCAGTTACGCGGGAGCTCGCCTCGGCCTGATCTGAATTGACTTGCCTATAGGTCCTCTTTCGGGAGTTTTGGCTATCTCCTCCTGTCGGACCTCCAACAATAGTGTTTATGACCCCGGCTATGTTTGGCCCATAACCTGACCCATAGCCAGGGGATCAATCTCGGGAAGGCCGTCTCGGCTCCCTAGGATCTTCGGGGGGTCGGCAGCTGCTTCTGGACCCTCTTCTGTCCTCTCGACGGGGTTCACTTCGGTTATTTTCTCGACGGGGTTCGCCCCAATGGTCTTGGTGAGGGTCACTCGTATTGCATTCGTCTCTGCGGACAAATTGCTTCAGGTACCCTCGCTTAATCAGTTCTTCAATATCTCTCTTCAGGTCATTGTAATCTTCGATTTCGTGCCCAATGTCCCGGTGATTGGCGCAGTAAAGGTTGGAATTCCTCTTTTCCCTCATTCCGGCCATTCTGGGAGGGGCCCGCCCAAGGCGATTCTGCTCCATGATAGTAAGGATATGGGAACGATTGGTGTTCAATGAGGTCAGACTGGAATCTGGAAAGGCTGACTTACCCTTGGCAATTCTATCAAAAATGCTCCGGCGGTCTCAGTTAGGGCTCTGGAAACCAACCATAGCACTAGCATCACCCCGGCCTGATTCCTTCTTTTTTTGGGAATTATGCCCGGAGCGTGCCACTTAGGCTTCCTTTTTCATGCGGTTCAAGTCTTCGGCCTGTATGCCTTTTTCGACCTTTTCCCAGAGCTCCCGAAGCGTTCGAGGGTACTTCTTGTGTATCACGGTGTTAAACACCCTGACAACAAGCCCATTTGTGAAGGCGGCTATGATTACCTGCTTATTAGGATCAGGTATCTGCACGTTTTCATCTTGAAACCTCTGCACATAAGCGCGAAGGGACTTCCCTGGATTCTGTTGTATATTTAACAGGAAAGCTGAAGTCCTCGTCGTCGGTCTGGAAGAGATAAACTGATGGAAAAATTTGTCCACTAATTCCCCCAGAGTGGAGATGCTCATAAATTCCAAACTCCAGAACCATTTTCGAATTGTTCCCTGTAAGAATACTGGAAAAGCCCGGCAGATGACCGGGTCTGGAATGCAATATAATCGGAATGCCGAGATGAAAGCATGAATGTGATCCTCCGGTTCACCTCGGCCATCATAAGGCGGTATGGTGGGCAATTTAAAGTTTGGGGGAGCCTCTCCTCATTGATGTCATCAGTGAAAGGCGGAGCCCTCATGTAATCCACTCCCGACCTTCCCGAATGCCGAGATTCCTCCTCGGCTCGTTTCCCTAGCAGGTCCCTTGAAAACGCCTTTGAAATTGAGGCCATCCTAGAGGTGGCTTTAGAGGGGACCCGCTTCGGGGTACTCCTTATGGAAGGTCTCCCTTCAGAGTCCTCATCAGATGGGAGTTCGGGAGAATCATCCGACTTTCTCTTAGAGGACTCAGCTTTTTGCTTGCCTTGCCTCTTGAAGTTCCTCTCTAATTCTTCAAAGATATTAGGATTTTCGGACACAAACTCGGCCATTTGGGCTATGGCTTCTCCGTTTGTAGCCTGATTCTCTGGGGACCCTTGTCCTCCAGAGGCATCTTCGGGTTGAGCTTCAGCACTTGGTTCAGCTCCAATAGTGAGAGCCTTCCTGCTCCTAGATCGCGTAGACTTCATCCTTTGATGTCTTCGTGTTCCCACAGACGGCGCCAATTGAAGAGGTGATTTTCGGAATCGGCAGACTTCCCCTAGGTGCTGGAGTAATGCTCCTGAAGTGGGTACAGCTTTACAGAAATCACCTGCTCAAAGTGTCAGAGATGGGGCATAGTCCCCCGGTTTACCTCCGACGATCTAGTTAGCTTATATTAGGGGAGAGTTTATTGAAAAAGCTTGTGGATGATATGCCTTGTAAGCTTAGAAAAAAAGCCCCTCTTCTTAGTAGCCTCCTTGTATTTATAGGAGACAATCGGAGAGAAATGGCGGTTGGGAACAACTTCCCATGTCCTGACAGACTGGGCATGTCAGCCTATCTCATCAGGTCTGTCAGGCAGGTCCCATCAACTGTCTTGCCCCTTAGTAAGCAACAGACTGTGACTTGGCCCCAGTTGTCCCATCAGGTATCATAGGGCTTCACACCGAGGTGTTCGAGATGATCGGTGGAGTCATGACAAGGCTCATCTCGGCAAGGCGATACTGGTCATGGAAAAGGACGGGTGAGCCGTTTTGAAGGGAGCCAAAGCGTGGAGTTCGAGCCGAAACATGCCTTGTTTAGATTGGTGGTTTTCGTTCCTTTGAACTTATTAAGATTTGAATTTTTAATTTCTACTTTTACTTTAATTATATAAGACAAGTTATATATGGCTTGACGTTTGTTAAATGTTAATAACACTGCTAGAGCCTTTAACATGGCAGCAAGTTGTGGAAATATTGGTCTTTTTTTTTGGCGCAACGATAGAAGTCCTATAACCTAATTTAGCCTAATCTAGGAAAAGGGGGAAAGGGACTCGACGTGAGTATAGACTCCCTCGATCATGACCAATAAAGACCGCCACATTTTAATGATAAATTTGTGGTTGAACCCTTGACCTCTCGCACCACCAGTTTTGACCACCAGACCAAAAGCCCAGTGGCAAAACGTCGAAGATGCTTTAAGAGCAGGGACTAGAGTAATTACAACTGACATTGATTGAAAGCTACTGGTGCCATCAATGATGGGATGCATCACATGGCTATATATTGTATTTTGGGCAATTATTTTATTATCTCTACAATAAAGTCTTCTATTAAAGGCTACTTCATTTTATTATTGTCTAAAAAATAAAAAATCAAAAAATTATTGTTCTGACATGAATATAATATAAAATTGTGAGAACTCGAGAAAAATTATATGTATGCTATGAATTTCTTTTATTTTAATTACTTTGATATTAGAAATATTATATATAACGAATAAATGGTTAAATTAAAATGCCTAATTGAATTCATATAAAAATTGAGAATTTAGAAATATCCTAGAATGGTGTAAAAAAAAATTATATGAAGCAAATAAACATATGATATGCATATTGTAATTTGAGTCATTTGAATATATTATATAGTTGAATAAGTTACACTGACTAATTAATTTTCTTTAAAACCAAATGAGTGAAAATCTACTAGATCAATATAAGCAAAATTTTTCAAGGTACATACAAATTAGAACAAACGAAATTTTGAGTCAATGTGTGAGACAAATAAAATTACGGACTCGGGGTAACCAAATAAACTAAAATGAAAAGACCGAAACAACCATGGAACTTCGGACTAACTACCATGCCTTGTTTAGAAACCAACCCTCAGAAATTCACAAGTTCATGACCGAGAAAGGGAAAATATTTGGAAGAATTGGAACCAAATGAAAGCTAGGTAGCTGCCTACCAAGTTAAACGTTGGAAGGAAGAAATTAGGAGGACTTGGCTTGTAATCTTGGGCGGTGAATAACACCTATGATGATAGCTGCCCATCCATTAGCTAAATGAAGTGATGACCAAGGGAGAAAGGAGACAGCGGAGACAATGCTTGGGCGGTGGCCGAGTGAAACACATTCCATTTCCTTTCTTACCAACTAGATATTAGGAGCAAGACCGAGAGAGAGACCAAAACCACCTTTCTTTCATCTCGGCACTCAAACCAGAGGGAGAAAAAGGAAAACACTTTCTGATTCTCTCTTGCATCCAACTGCGATCGAGAGAGTGAGGAGGAGAGAATTAGATATTGTTAACTGCAATTCTTCCAGTTTGTAGCCTTAGAATTGTGAGCCAAGAGTGAGTACGAAAAGGAGTTTGGAGCAGTAGGGGAACTGGAGCAGGAAACCAAACGTGCAATCTGCAATTTTTTTTCAAACGTTAGGAGGAAAGAACGAGGTACGTGACTGCAATAACCTTCTAAACAACTAGTACACTTGGATATTACTGTGGTATGCTGGAATGTAGCTAAGAAAAACTCAGTTTGATTGAAGGGAAAACTTGTTTAGGGAGTGGTTACCTTTCAGCTCCATCCGAGGGAAAAAAAACTGACCATGCAGCTTGTTAACAGAAAGTAGGGAGTAATTTTCTGCTAGAAGCTCAAACTATATGCTATTTTCTTGTCTTACCTGAGAACTTAGAGCAGGGTTGATAACTAGAGTGAAAAGAGCTTGTAGCTGAAGTAAATGCCGGGCAACAACTGTGAAATCTCAGAAAAATTGCAGAAACTGAGTGTTGAGCTGGAACTTGCAACTGATGTCAAAATTTCTTGGGTTAATAACGTTATGGGGTGCATGCAACAGATTATTTGTTGCCTTCTTCAGTTTAAGGGGTCAGTCGTAGGTTAGTGAGTGTGAAGTGGAGAGAACCATACGTGAAAGAACTCTGATGCAAGCTGCGGTACTTCAGTTTTGCAGCCTTGCGCAGAGCTGAATTTTAGTCAGCTTTCCTTTCGAGTTTTGAACATAAACTGCCCCGTTTTGCTTAAGTTAACTTGAAGTTGAATCAATATACTTTGTACACAATCTGGAACAGAAAACTGAGGAGGAATGAAAAGGGAAAAATGCAGCTGCTAAGCCATTACATGCTGAAATTCTTTTAGCTTCAACCGAGAGAGTGAAACAGAAGGTGCTTCTGACCGTACATTTTTTACCTTGAAAATGCGAGAACTGGGTGTCTATGTCTTAGTTTCGAAACGCTATAAAATTTGCCTCAATCCGATAAGCGTAACTTCAGTTATGATCAAAACACCAGAGGGTGGCAAAGCAGAATGTTGGCCGAGGGAGTGAAGCAGAATGTGCTTATGTCTGGCCATTTTTGAGCCTGAAAATGTGAGAACTGGATATCGATGTCTTCATAAGAAATGTAGGTCTATATCTTAACTTCAAATCACTATAAAATTTTCCTCAATCTGATAAGTATATCTCCAGTTATGATCAAAACACCAGAGGGTGGCAAAGCTGCCTTTCTCGTTGCCTTTCTTTTGTTTCCCGAATGCATTTTTGCGATAATGCTAGCCGTGAGAATCAACTTTTAACCAGCATTTAATCTAATTTCCAACTTTGTAAGCTTTCATAGATGATAGCTAAGGCTACTTTGTAGCTTAATGAATATGAGTTGCCTATCTAGTAAGAGCATGAGAGTGAGAGGAAGGAGTGGAGGGAATAATGAGTGCTGGACCGGGTACATTGCTAGAAAAATTAGTGGTGAATTTATACGAAACATCTCATAGCATTTTGACACTAACTATATGAACAATTTTGAGAACTTAAAACTAGAAAACTAATAAATTTAACAAGACGTAAACCACAGGCAATCTAGTATTTGATTTAACTTAAAAATGAAGGAATGAAAGGTCAAACTTGATTTCAATGGTTTAAATAAAAGAATAATAAATGATCATCTACAAATTATATATTTACTTTAAAATTATTAACTTGTACCAGGAAGTAGCCATGAACCAGGAAACCAATTCGAGACTCGAGAGTAGTCA